TGCTAGCTCACCGCTTCTGGGCTGCCGTGGGCCTCGCTGAGGTGGTGCCTTCACCCGCCCTCCCGGCAGCCCCCAGCTCCCTCTCCCTGCCGAGGCCCCCCTGATATCTCTTCTGTCTTTTCTGCGGAGGTTTTTCCAGGACACGATTATGAGTGATCAAATCCAGTTCATTGTTGAGAAGCTCAATCAGGAGCCCTTCAGGAAGAACTACAATCTAATCACGTTTGACTCCTTAGAGTCAATGCAGCTGTTGCAGCTGCTCAATGATGTTCTGGGGGAGATTGACCCAAAGGTAAGGAAGGCAATCAGAGGTGCTCAGACCTGCGTTAATTATGAACATCTGAAAGGGGCTTGGCACAGAAATTTGCTTTTATTTAGGTCTGGCTCTGTATAATCTTGTGGCATGTTTCATTTACCAAAACAGCTCGTATGAATCTTCCCGGAAATAAATGTGCCTGGCAAAACTCCTTTCTGTCTATACATCCATGTGTTTTTGGCAAACCAGCAAGTGTTTCTTGGGCCAGGGATACTGGATCCCTGTTCCCCAGAGGCTGATGACTGTATTTTTCCTTGGGATACAGATCTTAACTTGGTTCATACCGACAACTGCTGTGTTCTTAAGTCAAAAGTCAGGCTGTGTCTTGCACATGTACACAGTGCAGGAACTGATTAAGAACTGAACCTCATGACTTAGCTGTTGCAATAGATATTGAATCCCTCTCCTTTGAGGCTACCAAAAGTGCATGTAAGATCAGAAAGGATTGTTCTTACATCTGGGGCGCAGATACGTGTGCCTTGGTGTGCTTGGATATCTGACTTCCTTGGCGGAAATCATCAGTTTGTCTGCATAGATGAGGTCCCGTGAGCAGGGTAAATGTATACCTAGAATAAATTTACTTGAGTACACATACTGGAGAAAAATCCATTAGAAGAGAATTGAAATTTGGTGATAAAAAGGATGTTCTGTATGGAGCGTCTCACTTCATTGACATATTGTGGTAAATGGATAAAGTAAATTCTATATAGAATCATCGAATGGTTTGGGTGGGAAGGGACCTTTAAAGATCATCTAGTTCCAAGCCCCCTGCCATGGGCAGGGAGAGCTTCTGCTAGACCAGGTTGCTCAACGCCCTGTCCAACCTGGCCAATTATTTTAGTATTGCTAGTTAATTAACTTGGCTTGGGCAAACAGTGGATAATTTTTTTAAATTTTTTTTTTTTTTACTATTTAGCATGCTGTTGACATTAGAGAGGAGCTGCCGGAACAAACAGCTAAAAGAATGTTGAGTCTTCTTGGTATCCTTAAATACAAACCTCCAGGAAGTATTTCAGACTTGTAAGTATCTTTTTGTCTACAAATCATGGTAAAACATGTTTTACAGCTTATACCGTAGCGACCTTTAATTCAGTAGCTGTGTGTATTTTTGACCTCGACTACCCCAGTGGGTATGTGTAACGCCTTGAAGACGGCTCCTCCCCTGTCCTATAGAGTATGGTATAGGGGATGCCCGCAGAAGGCTCCTGCAGGTGTGGGCTGTCCCTCGGGCCCGGCTGCAGCAGCTGCTATTGCGGAGTCAGCCAGGAGAGGGTGCCGCATGACTGGCAGGGTCAGTCCCTTCCCCATCCCTTTCAGACCAGCCACCCGAGGCTGGATTGCACCCTCCTGCGCCAGGTTATAACCCAGAAAACCCACGCTCTTCTCACATTACCTTTATTCCCGAGGAATATCGCAGAAAAGGAAGAGTCGTTGTTGCTGGCTTTAGCCTTTTGATGAGTTATGGGGTTGTTTGTCTGTCTCAAGGTAGCAGCATCGGGATTGTGAATAGCAAACTGGCATCATGAGTGTTTTCTCTTTTAACAGCATTAAGAAAATCATTAGGCAAGTGGAGAGAGAATGTCAAAATATTGCAAATTGTTCGTTCCAAGCCAGTGTTCTTTAGGTTGAGATTTACTGGTATTTTCTTTTTGTTGTTTTCATACAGGAGTGCATTTCGCCAAGGGTTAGTTGCTGGAAGCAAACCTGTAATTCATCCTGTCTTACATTGGCTTCTTCAGAGGACCAATGAACTCAAGAAAAGAGCTTACCTGGCACGTTTCTTAGTAAAATTGGAAGTGCCAGCGGAGTTCCTACAGGATGATACTGTGGCTGACATCAACAAACAGGTACCATTTTTCATGAATGCCAACATTTTATGTTAATTAATGAGAGTGCCAATAGGAGGAGGGATGAATGAATTGGGGAGTTACTGTTGAAATACATGTTCAAGTGAGTTATGTTAAGAGCATGTTGGAATCAAGGGTGAGCAAAATTCATAATAAGAAATATATGTCTTGACCACCTTTCTTCCAATAACCCTGAAATTGTGTATTAATAGGTAGCATTGAATTAAAAGGTTTTAAGCCCACTAGGTACTGGGTACTAATTAATGTTTGGAGCCATGTTGGCCAAGACAGATTTTTATTTCTTAATTTTTAAACACTTTTTTTTGTCCTATGAACTATGACATGGATATTTTTAACTTTATAAATTACCACTTCAAACTAGTCCGGAAAATGTTGTGACCAAAAGCCATTGTCTCCTAATGATTGTATAGTATTTAGCACCTAATATTTGTATTAGCCTTATCCCACTTCTGCTTCAACCATTTATTTTTTTGTGAATAAGTAAAAAATTTCTTTTTCCTGGGCTGACATTCCTACTCATTATGTTCCCACTTCTTTTGTGAGCATTAAATGTTGATTTTAGATAGTCAGAGTGGGTGGGTTTGAAATGTAAAGCTTAAAGTGAACCAAAGTTATGTTTTTAGATCTGTATTATCTGAGGTACATATTTACCTAATTTTTATCCAGTTTTCTGTGCCTTTTGTTATGTATAGTGACTTGCAAAATCACAGTGTTTTTGCATGTTTGTAACAGGTAACGCGATCTATTAACTGTGCACCAGCAAAGCTGTATAGTCTGACTGAAGCTTGATTAAGCCTTTTATTTTTTTGTTACCACTAACAATGTTGGATTTATAACTTGGAATAAGTAAGCAGAAGTAGCAAAGAGAGACAGGAATACAGATTGTATTTTTCAGTATGTTGCAGTCTTAATGTGTATAAATATCCAACTCCATTATTTCCATTACGTAAGATGTGTTCCTTTTGGGGATTACAGTAATATAACTGTCTTATTAAACTAATGCCCTGCTGATTAATTCAAAACAGAAGCTGGGGTGATATAGTGCCTTAATGTAATTTAACATTACCGTGCAAATATTTAGATACTAATGAATTAAAGAATTTAGCCTCAAGTATTTAGATAGACAGGCTTGCAGTAGTGTATTTTAAGAGAAACATGCAAGTCTGGAAATCTTAGAACATGGTCAAGTTTTATGGGTGTATAGAATCAAGCTCAAATGTACTTTTCTAAGTTATTTGTACTCGGAGTACTTGCCACCTTCCCAACTGCGTTGTGATTTGGACATCAGGTTGGCTGCAGTATATAATTAAAAAGTAAGCAACTTCAGGCATAAATCTAGTTGTCCAGTCTTCAGTGAGTTGCCCTCAGGTGCCAGGAATCTTTCTTTCCGCTATAGGAACCTGGGTGTTCTTTGCTCATTTGAGTGTGTCACTTATTTCCGGCGCACATGGGGTAGGCTGCAGCTTTTATTCGGTGAAAGTGAAAAGCCTTCCCTTCGTTATGGTCTGGCAAACTGTGCTATGCCCTTGTTTGAATCTTACCATTAGTCTTGAAATTTTGTGTCCCAATAAGGAAAAGACTTACTAAACTCTCCTTTTGAAAGAGATAGAGAATCCACACAAAGGAAAGCTGTTGGACATCAGCAATCGTGAATACAGTTGCTCAGAGACTACCTGCTATTTCATTATTTGTTAAAGTACTTCTATAATGCATAAGTGATATAATGCAGGCCAGTTGCATTTTTACTCCTACTTTTTTGTAACTCATTCTTCATTGTCCAGCGTGTGCGTGCCTTATCATACCTTTATTTGCCATTTAATCAAGCTCTTTCTCTATTATCTTCTTCTCAGTAGCCATTTTATTGCTATTTTTTAAAATTCATTCCAGCTTGTCAGTGTGTGCCTGATATTGAAACAGCCAGAAATGAACAGAGCATTCTAGATGCTGGTTCGTCAGGGTTTTGTAGAATGGAATTGCTGCTTCACTGCTCAGGGATATGATGCCTTTGTTTGAACTGGCCTTTGCCGTTGCCATTTTGTGTTCAACATTCATATCAATCGCTCTTTCCAGGAAGTGAAAAATGACTTGATATTCTCTTTTTAGATTTTTTCCATCTTATTGAATGGTTGTTTCTGTGGAGATTATCTTTCCTTGTATCTCAGCTTGCATTTCTCCAAGTTGAATCTAAATTTATTTCCTATCCATATTTCTAAACTCTTTCTGTCCCCTGTTATTTCTCTACCCACACAGACTTTCACACTGCCTCTCAGTTTAAGATTACTGGTGGGCAATGTATTGGTGTGGAAGTAGCACACTGTCTACTTCTTTCTAACTACCAAACTACATATATCAATCTCTATATTATACTGAGGGCATGATTATGCAATGTGTCAAAACTATTTCTCGCATAAGTCAGGTGTGCTCTTGGACCGCTTTGCTGGATTGAAGCTCAGTGCTCTATAAATTCAAGCCTCATTGCTTCGATCAAGCATGTTGTTAGTTCAAGCTCTTCCTTTTTGGGCTGATAAATTTAAGTATGTGATATACACAGATTTATAGTTGACGAGCTTTTGTGATGAAAAATTGCCTTTAATTCTTGGTCTCGCCATATTTCTATTTCTGTATTTACTGTCTTAGTAGTAAAGCAACATGTTGATCTGAAAATCCTTGGACACAGAGCTCATTCTGCATGGTTTTTATTTCATTTCATAGTATGAAGAACTGATGGAAGCATTTAAAAACCTACATAAGGAGTGCGAGCAGCTCAAAACATCTGGTTTATCTACTGCAGAAATAAGAAGGGTAAAAAAACCTGACAAAATCGCGCAACTTTTGTTTAGGTTTTTTTGAATGTCAGTTCTATTTTTGTTGGTTTTGTGGACTCATTGCAGTGTATAAGTTGTAGAGGTCAGAGCTGGTAGGCACTGCAGCTGCCTTTTTGAAAATGTTCTCTGTTGGCAAACAGATGAGATAGTCCTCGCTCGTGCTTACAACTGAGCTTTCTGAAGCAGATTGGGAAACAAGGCTGCCAAGCCTCTGTTCAACATGATTTTCAAATATTAGAACTCCCTTTCCCGTGAATGCAAACTGACACAAAGCCTTTTGCTTTACTGATACAGGGTAATAATTTCAGAGGGTGTTGAATGAATTAAGAGCTTAAGTCAACAAAAATGATGATCCTGTGTGGCTAAAGTGTTAAGTAAAGATATTTGCCCTGTTTCAGCAAAATATTTAAGCATGGGTACAGCTTTCCAGTGAGACATATGGACAAGTTAAGCAAATGTTGAGAGAAGGCCTAAATTTGGAGAACTTATTTCCCTTTCTCTCATAACTATCAATCTCTGGAATCCTGCTGTTGTAAGATAGGATTAAAGGAGAATAATAATCAGATACGTGTTTTAGCACTAGAAAGTGTTTCTTCTAACACAATTTTAATACAAAAAGTGGCAGCAAACATCACTCATATGCAACTTCATGCCAAATTGTCTGCCAGGAAGTGGGTAATGATGGTAACAATGTTTGACTGTGTCAGATGTTGAATTAATGCTGGTTTTTGCTTGGTTGTTTCCGTTTGTTTTTACTTTAGAGAAACCCACCTGCTTTTATTTTACATGTGCACACTAATGCTCAAGGATGCAGATGAAGGAATGTTAGCATAAAGAGAGTAGCAACTGTGGGGGGAAGTAAGAGAGAAGAGAGAGATTGGAATCCTGGATGTTCTGATCATAGATCAATAAAATTGTAACTGCTTTGGTGTATTCAGAGAAGAATTCTGATTTTTGCATTAATTTGAACAGAATTTAGTCCAATCCATATTATATTGTAAATAAATTACCATTTCTTTATCTATTTTTTTCCACTTTTTAGGACATCAGTGCAATGGAAGAGGAGAAAGATCAACTCATCAAAAGAGTAGAGCGTCTTAAGAAGAGGGTAATAAGAGAAGTAACGCTGTTACATTTCAGTGTCATAATCCTTGGCTTGCATCTCTGATTTTGGAATGCAAACAAGGATTAAGATAAACATACTGTATGTCTAGGAAGGAATTGAATAACTAATTGACCCACAGGGAATCTCCCTAGGCGTTAGTCCAGAGCTTTTAAGAATCTTGAGTCCAGTACTTCGCTGTCATTTCTGAGTAGTAACATGTATGGAAAGGAAGTGCTAAGTGGGTTTGTGAGACATATGATCTCCTTAATGTATTTCTCAACTATCTGACAGTAACATGCACTATTTATCCACTTGCTGTAGGTGGAGACAGTACAAAATCATCAACGAATGCTTGAAATAGCAAGACAGCTTCGCTTAGAAAAAGAGAGAGAAGAATCTTTGGCTCAACAGAAACAAGAACAAAAAAATCAGGTACTGACATAGAAGCATACCTATTAAAATAAATAGTTGTTGACATTTGTTTGGGAATCGTGCATTTAAAAAAGTACCTCAGGAACAACAGTACGGAGTTTCTCCCAACATCAGAACATCAAATCCCATTTAAAATAGAAATAGTTATGTACATTTTAAGGGAAGAGGCTTGACCCTGCAAGTTTTGAACACCTCATTCAAGATACTTGGCTGTCTCAGCTGCCACTGACATCATCATTTAGCAGTCCCAGGAAATGTTCCATGACTTACTGTTGTAGCACCCAAGAGAATTCTTTATATTTATGGTAGTGAGCAAATGTTTCCTTAGTTTGATTTGTATCTCTGTGCATCTGCACTAAGATTTCAGGGGCTGAATAACACAGCAAGTACCTCAGCTTTTCGCTGGGTGGGGGGAATATGTGTTCGGGAGCAACCTTGGGATTTTGGTCCCTCAGTTTGACAAAGATGATGTCCTAGGAAGCACTGGAAGCAGTTGACATCTGCATATAAGGGTGAGTTTTATTCCTGAGCTATGTTGTCAAAACAAGATACTTTAATAAAATCCAGTGCTGTATTGTTATATCATCTCACCAAATTCTGTAACGTGAAATTCAACACATTAAAAGGGGAAAACCCCTGAGATTTCTAGTATTGCGGTCTATATCTGGATGTGGAATCAATGTGAATCAGTAGGCTTTCAAGCTATTGGGTCTTTGCTTGAACCTGAGTGAGATCACCAGTAAAATGAATGTGATGTCCAGCTAATTCCAGTTCTTAGTACACATCTCTCTAAATCAGAAAAATGCTAATCAACTGGGTGGTGTTTGGCAACAAGCTTTCCCATGTGCTCTCAAGCTGGACAGTGGATTGCTGTGACAACTGAGCTGCGTTGAAGAACTGTAGTGTAAAGATAGTTATCCGCTGCAATCCTGCTTCTTGCTGGGTTTTTTTTGTCGTTGTTCTAATGTTCAAGCCACTCATATTTTTGGTTGAAAATTGTTTACTGAATTTCTGCCATAGAGAAAATATCACTTGGGAGTACAAGAATACTTTCCTTAATTAACACTAAAGAATATCAAATAAACCCAGGCCAATTGTTGAAAAATTGTTTGGGCGCGTTCCCTTGTGAAACAGATAATCACCAAATGCTTATAGCTACCATTTTTTATATCTGGGATTCTTTTTGATACTCTCTTGTTTTAGTTGTTTGAATATGCATTTCAAAGAAATGAGCTTATGCATGTCCAATTCTCTCTCAAAAGTTGTTCCATGCAGAGCAGAGACTGCAAAGAGCACAGCTCCAGCTGAAAGAGATGCATCATGCAGTAGTGGATTCAAAACCTGAAAGTAAGTAGTAATCTGTAAAGGCTGGGGGTTTACACTTCTTTGTTAGAAATGAAATCAAAACTGGATGGCTGTCAGTAATATGGTAGTGCCAAAAAGCATATGGGAACTTAAGAGAATCTAAAGAAAGAAACAACTTGTGTTCTAAAGGCACATGCTGGCGATCCTAAGCCTGAATGTGCCTTGCCACAAAAAGCCAGAGAGACAATCACAAGGGAAGATGATACCAGTCATATTTTTGAGGTCCACTTTTTAAAAATCTTAAAACAGTTAAATACTGAATACCAACCATAAATACTCTGCAAGAAAAAAACAGTTGGAACTACAAAGGGTTGGAAAAAGCAGAAACCTCTTAGAAAAGACAAACTTCTGATTTAGTAAGGTTTTATGTCTTTTGTGTTTGTAATTGGGCATTGGTGAAATACTGCTGCTTAAAAATTTTCTCAATGAATGTACATATACACTGAATACCATGTTTTATTCAGTGTAGACTTGTTTTTCTAGTTACCTTCTATAAAATATTTGTTTAAAAAACTTTAAGGCGTGTTTCTTATCGTAGTGCAATTTTGTGTGGTAGTTTTGTATGGTACCAAAAATAAAGCTACTTCCTAATTAAGCATTTCTTATAGATCATGGATTATACACACACACACTCTCTCTTATATATGTTTATAAGTATATATAATATATACTAGCTATATCTATATATTAAAATTTTTGTTTACATATGAAAATACTTTGTTCTCATGATACAACTGTAGCTGATTGAGTTGTATGTTGCTGTATTACATTGGTAATAACAAGATTGCTTCTCCTCGCTTTCAGAGATATCTCAGTCTGCAAATAACCTCAGCAAAATAAATTATACTACTTGTGGAGTAAGTTAGTAGTCTATGAACATTTATGAAAATAGCAGGTGGGAAGGAATTGCGGTTACTAGATAAATGCATAACTCGCTGTCTCCAAAGGCTACAATTTTATAACCTCTAGGTTTCTGATGATTTAATCACTTTGAAGGAAATGTAACAAGGATTAACCTGGCAGTTTGGCAACAAAACTGGGAGTCAATTTAGGGTTCAGTGTTTCAGATGTATGTGATACTTGGCAAATTGCTTAACCCTTTCCAGTTTGTCTCTTGCACTTGGTTGTTAATAACACATCACAGGATTGATAGAGGTTTTATGTGCTGTTCGTACAGTCATTGGGGTTGATTTATAGGGAAATACTTTACTGTATGTGAAGTAGTGTGAACATATAAGACTCAGAATGGTCCTTTTCACAGGGCTTTTAGAGTTGCATTCTAAATTGCTATGGTAAAAAAAATGCCATAGAATTATGTTTACTGTATGTATAAATTACTTACAAAATGATAGAATCTGACTAGTTATTGATTTAAACTTAGTAAAGAAGTCATTGTCTTACTCTTTCAAGTACACTTAATATTCCAGTTGCATCACATAACTGCTTTGGCAGCTGGTTTGAGTTAGAGAAGTTTTTTCAGTCACCACCACATTGCGTTGTTGTTACTTCGGAATTGTACTTTAATTTTTTTACAATGCTCATCAGCCACTGAACCACAAATGGAACTAAAAGAGTATCTGAACTATCTTCTTTACTCAAAGGGACCTGCAGTGGATTTTATAACTGTTCCATTTTTGCAGTAGCTATCAGAAAGTTTATACAGCAAAGCTGTGTCAACATTTCTATTTAAGTCCCTGGGTTTTTTTAAGGCCAATGGAAACTTGATGGGTTCAGTTCGCAGAAGCAAAGGTAACATAATGAAAAGCCAGTAAATATGTCATTTAATCATTGAGATGAAAATAAAGATAAAGTTAACATATTTAATTTCCTTATCTTGACTCTTGCTTGCAGGGGAAAAAAAAGTATTTAGATGTTCCGAAGAAAAACTTGGAGTCATTACTTAAGAAAACTTGTGTTGAAATTTTGCCCAACCAAAGACTTCAGGACTTAGCTTTGTAATTGCCAATAGTAGTTACGACGACACTGCCTGTAGTAGCAATTACAGAATGCCAACTGTGTTTTTTAAATAATTGAAATTACGTGACCACAGTGCACTGAATAGGATTCCATTTATTTTAAAAGCTTTGTTGGTCTACAGTTAGCACAATTTATTTTATTTTAAAAATTTCCTTTGGCTGCAGTTTGGTACCTCAGCTGCCTACTCATATCAAGATAGCTTGTATGCTGACAATTCAATGGCTGGTTGGTAGGTGTGGATTTTCACTGGAAGTCACATACTTTCCTTTAAAATAATTTTCTTCTATTTTTAATACTTCAGGTGTTTTTACTTCCAAAACAAGATAAAATGGTAGAAGTTGTTGTTAACGAGTAGAAGCTTTTTTGTTTGTCTTACAGATGCATGCTGCTTTGATTACTTCATCTTATAATTAATTTAGGATGAAGTACTTTAGGGAAATAGAAAGGAACTCTTTAGGAATGCAACTAGCACGTATTCATGAGTATCATTAACATGCAATTAGCATCAGTCTGCTTTAGCTGTGCCAGGAAAATACAGCTTATGGTTAGCAGGTTTTTAACTCTTAGAAATATACTATTTAGAAGATTTTGTATTGTATCATGAAAAACAGTTGATTGTTATGAGATGTTTTGTAGGCTAAAATTGATCATACTGCTTTCCACAGTACGCTCCATTCCCGTTTATTAACTTCAGTACTACTCAGTATGTTGTTGAACTACGGAGAGGCAGTTGCTGCTGGTAGCACTGAGTAACATGAATTTACAGTTTCTGGGGTTTTGTTGTTGTTCCGGATACGAATAGTATTTATATTAACACTGACCACTAGTTTGAACATCCTTTTGCTTTGAATCTCTCTGCTGGCTCAAACACAAATTGTTAATGCCAAGAAGCAAACTGACTGAAATTCTTGATCTCTGTCCATTTTACAGAACATTATTGTTCACTTTATTGGCAGAAATATGAAGAAGTGGATGACTAGCTTGAAAATATTGATTAAAAGAATGTGTTAAGATGATTGTTGTTGATAAACAGTGAAATGTGTAATTTATATACTTCATTAAGTTACTATGTAGTAATAGATTTAGAGCACTGAGAGCATCAAAGATGCTGGTTGAAGAGGAATTGCTTTGTACAGATGTCTTTTATGTCATTCTGAACACTTGATGAAAAATAGACATTTAGGATGCTATTATTTAAATAGTCCATTTGAATGAAAACATTAACATTTTTCTTTTCTAGAAACTAGAAGCTAGGGAACTAGCTTTCCCTAAAATTCCAAGTTTAAATGATCTCCACCAACACAGCAGACCACATTACAATTAAAGTTATAGATGTATTTGGTAGAGGAGAATGGCTTAGATGGGACTTCATTTCCATCTTTAAATCTTTAAATGATTTTATTTATTATAAAGTCACTGTTTTTATTAATATAATATATAATAAATTTCATTTATTATAAAGTC